CCAGTAAATAAGTAGTATGAGATGTATTCACCCAATTTAGTTTAAAGTGATGAAGGACTGGTAGTCAAATATTACCACAATGATATGCGTTGAGCTGACCTTTCCATTGGATTTCTCATTGCTTTGCTTTCCCAAAAGTTGTTCTCATCTCGGCCGGAGTGGACTGCCGTTTCGCACTTGTATAAGTCTTAGCAACGCCCCTAACGGGAGTCGAACCGTGGCAGTGCAGAATGTAAGCTTGACACGTTAACCACTTGGTCACATTGTCACGAGCTTTCTTGGGTCATAGGGCACATGTGAATGTCAAAGAAGGCCAGCTCTTTTCCCATATCACATTTTTTGGTGAGATTGTCGATGAAGCTAACTTATTTTTGCTATAACAATGGACTATACTACTTATTTTTCTTATGTTAGTAGAGTTTCGAGACTATCAGCAAATCAGTAGTATGAGACGCCGAGAGTACGCATTCTCAGCTTTGACGGAATCTAGCCGATAATTTCGTGGTCTGACCTACACGCTTACAAGTATTGTCAACGGACTAACTCTCCTTTACCCGTTAAACCTTGATGACCTAAGGCTGACTTTAAGCTTTTTTTCTCATTAACTTTGAGTTATGGTCGGTTTAGTGTAGAGATGTCTTCCTATCAACATGACCAAGTTGCTAAAACAAGGTCAAACAACTTCCATACAACGAAAGGAGACCGAGAACATACAAAAGACGATGTCTTTTTGATCGTTTCTTCCCAATTTTCTATAAATCTTGGTTATATCGTTGCTATACTTTGGTTAAGGTTTTAAAGAGTTCACTAAAAGTCCTTGATTGCAGGAACTGCTCGAGTTTACGTGAATTAACCAAACTTTTGGAGATATTAAGACCAAGATGGTGTGGCCTCTGGTATGGTCGCAGTCTCCTTTCGATGCTGCCGATGACGATGCCGGCGAAACGTTTCAGAATGTACCAAGTCCACTGTCTGACAACTATAACAGACGACTTCGAACATGGTGCGTTCTACCACGTCGTCTTGACAACAAGAGCAAATTGCGACAACGAAGTCAACCTACTTTTAAACAAACTTTTGTTTATGCAAATTTTTCTTCAAATAAGATAGAAAAAAGTCGCGAAGTGAGATTGAGCCACGAATCTCTTCAATAGACACACCTTCATGTCGCAACAGCACAAAATGTGGCCGAAACGAGCATTGACTGTTCTCAAAATAAGAGGAGGTTAGTTGCATTCTTCCTCAACTGAGCCATCTTTCACCCCAAACACTAAAAACCGCCCTACCATTTGCTTTATGTCCCCTTCCAACAATCCTTCTTCGAAGGCGGATTGGTGCAATTCGGCGAACAAATGCAACCCCAACCGTTTGGGAGTGAAAATGAAGGGATATGGACATCGGGAGCAATGCAATTCATACCACGACACTGTATCACGTCGCAGAGGTAATCTGTCAATTGATAACCGCACATCCTCGTCCGAATTCACTTCGAGCAAATCATAGCCGCCGCCCGCTTTAGTATGGCCGACACGCTATAAATAGTACAGTCTCGCCCGTAATGGTGATATTGGTGAAAGCAGCAGAAATATTAGCTGTTGTGGTGTTATTATTATTATTATTATTATGACAATGATAAAACGATGATAATAATAATAATAAATACTAATAATAGTAATTATACTAATAGTAATACTAATAGAAATAATAATATTAATAGTAATAATGATAATAATAATGATAATAATACTAATACTAATAATAGTAATAATACTAATAATAATACTAATAATACTAATAGTAATGATAATAATATTAGTAATAATAATTATAATAGTAATAATAATAATAGT